CTAGGCTCAATTAGCGGCAACAAGGCTAGTCCCCGGCATCAGGTTTTATTTTATAAAACCTGGATTCTACGCTCGATTAGTGGCAGTAGATTTATTTTATAAAACCTAGATTTTACGCTCGGTTAGCGGCAACAGATTTATTTTATAAAACCTGGATCAAGTCGTATTAAATTTCCTATACTAGGGTTTGATAATACAGGCTAGGGTAATACAATATTTTTTTATTACTATAAAGGGAAAACATGTGAGTGCTACCTTTAAAAAGGCCAATGAGACAGATGGGATTTCATACAGTTTTTGGCACTTGAAAAGCTTTGATCTGCAAGACAGCCCAAAGACCTCACACACTCAGAACCCAGGTGTGAAGCATCTCCCACTGGAGCTCTCCTTTTCAGCCTCTTGGTTGTGTGTCTGGATCTTGGCCATGTGGAGATAGAAGCTCTCAGTATATAAAGTATGTTGCATCTGTTACTGTGTGTGTAACTAGGAACAAAAGGTAAGTTTTTTTTATTTATATAAATGAATATTTAAGGGAGATTTTTGTCTTCCTATAGTAGAAAAAAATTGGGTGACAGAGGGGCTTCAGATAATATTTAAAGGAGTGTTACAGCTAGCCGTAACCCAGATTCAAGATCAAAACCATTTTTGATCAGTAGTGGTAACAAAGTATAAGATGTACTGTGGACATTTCAGCTAGTAACGGGTGACTGGGAACTGTGTTGCCTGGACCGCTGTTAGAAATTACCCCAATTCTTTTGTTGGAAGCACAAGAAGTGAAGAAAGGAGAGGACTGTTTAAGATCAACAAAAAGTTTACTGGAAGTCTGAGCACAGGTGGCCCTGGCATCGGGCTTACCCCAGCATCGCCTCATTGCGGCATCAGATTTTATTTTATAAAACCTGGAACAAAATGGTATCAAATGTCCTATTAAATTTGGAGTGGTGTGTATCTAAAAACATACAGGACATTCAGAGACATGTCCGAACAGTAAGCCTCGGAAAATGTTATGATTAAGATTATGGCTGAGCATATCATGCTACTAGCAATATTCATCCTGCCGGCAGACTCTGCAATCTAGCTGACCTTGGCCTAGATGCAGCCTGCAGAACTCATGACAATGAACTGAGCATTTAACAGCCTGAGTAAGACATCCTGGCTACACTAACATTTTCTAATACAACAGATCTCTAATCAATATCTATCTAACTAAGAAATTACCTAACAATTACAAGGAAAATAAAGTTATGAAAAGTAACTAAAGGGAACTACAGGTATGAGAAGTAACTAAAGCTGATAAAATAACTAGAGTCTATAAGACTCAAATCTTACATTACTTACATGGCTGCTACAGCTGTACTTGGTCTTTGGTGGTTAAAATTTACTAATGTATGCTTTTGATAGAGAGACATTTTGGTAACTTTGCAACACATCTACCATTGCATTATATTTTAGCTTATATCATTATCCTTTATGTGTCACCTGCAGCCTCTGTGGCTGCAGTTAAGCCAAAGTTAGAGATTATCCAGTAGAACTACAGTATAAACAACTGGCCAGTGTTTTTGGCATACTCACACAGGATGCACCTGTTGAATAGAACATATCCAAAGATACTTTTGGAATGCAACCACTTCCTCAAGTAGTTATAATGCAGCATGATATCCTCACCAGAAAAGGTGACAGCAATGCCTAAAACAACCAGTGTTTGTATTTTTATCATGTTTATGTCAATATGACTCCTGTGCAAAACAATGTTGCCACATAGATTGCTAGTATTTGGGTGTACAAAGCACCAGACTTCAGAGATTTTAGTCTGCACCCCGTCTCCTTCCATTAGTCAAATTTCTTTAACCATAACCAAAAATCCTGGCCTATTTTTAACCACATGGTTTTACATTATTTCTGCTACCCCTAGTGTCTGTTAAGATTAGGTAACAGATCAGAAAATGCAAATGTATCTTTTTTGTGAGGCTCATATGTGTGATTGTCTTTGAAGGCACTTAAAATGCCTTATTTTGATGTAGATATGAGGATTTGTTTGATATAACCCATCTTAAAATGTGGTGTTAGGTATTTTTAGTCAGATAGATATTGGATAGATACTTTATGTATTAGAAATGTTTAGTGGAGATAGGATGTCTAGTTAGACTGTTAAATGCTTAGGCATGCTTATGAGTTTCTACAGGGTACATCTGGTCATGGATAACTAGAGAGAAGAGTTGATGACTGTCAGCAGACAGGGTGTTTAATATTATTATTACAACGTGTATAATTGTAGCTTTAGCCATAATATGTTCTTATGATTAAGTCACGACATGTACTAGAGGTCGTGTGAGAATGTTTTTAGCTACACACCACTTAACCAACAGACATACACATTCACACGTTGATTTGCTTCATGTTTTGACTACTGCTATGGCCAGCTGCAGAGCTGGCAACAGAGACGTCTCGGTTGACGTTTTTGTGTGGTATGGGGCTAGCCCAACCGAGGTGATATAATGTATAGGCCTGGTGGGCTCAGGGTCTTTCATCTTACATCTGCCTGCGTGCAGTATGGAGGTGCAAGATACTTGAGCGTGTAATGTTAATTTTACCTGTGATCCTTTGAATAAATCAGCACTGTTTTGTAGTTACTTGGACTGCCCCGTCTCTCAGAGTCAGTATGGTAAAAAGTACGGGATACAACAGTGGACTTCAAATAAAACTGACCCTGAAATAGGATATAAAGCAGGTGGGGACTACCAATGGTCTCTGGTGTGATCTTAATTTTAGTCATGTTGGAGGCTCCATGCAGAAAAGAACAACATTAAATTTCTTAACCTACCAGAATAGTAGTAAAGTAAAGTAGACAATTGTTTTTCAACAAGCAGTTCTGTCCAGATATTAGGGATCAATTGACCTCTTAGACTGATCACATTTCACCAAGCTCAGGGTCAGTTACTGGTTTGTCCTCCTATCAAACCTCCGCTGTTAATTCAACAGTCAGGTAGGGAATCTTGGAGCTGTAAGAAGAAGAAGTAGCTTCATTTATTGTCATTGTAACATGTACATGAAATTATGTTTGTAGCCAAGGGCCACTATGTGCATACACACTGCCAGGTGGGGGGGGGGGGGTTCAGTGTCTTGCCCAAGGACACTTTGAAGTGTGGACTGCAGGCACCAAGATTTGAACTTTTAGCTTTCCGGTTGGGAGACAACTGCTCTACCCACCGCACCACTGTTGCCTTCCCAAAATCTGACCAGATCTGCCAAGGCACTTTGTGATGAGCTGTAATAACATTCCACAGTATGTTTCAGCAAAGGAAGAAAAGGGAATTGAGAATCACGGTGCTGCATTTTAACCCTGAAAAAACAGAACACATCAAAGCACTCAGGGGAATGAACAGGTCTGTGTTTGCTCACTGAGTCAAATCTTTCCGCTCGGTATGGGGCTGCTTGATGGTAACTGACTGTAACTATAATAAGATAGTGGGCTCAAAGTTGGTTTTGCTGTTTGCTTTTCCTTTAGAAGCCTTTGATGGGCTCTCTCTCATTCCAGAGAGTATTGTGAGTATCATGGAAATTGCCTGCTCTATCCAACTGATACTTCAGGTGGAGGTCAGTGATGCTAGGTTTGTGTATGTCAGGGAAAGGAAAATCTGGAGTCAGCACCGGTGAATAACAGTTAGGGCTTTTCCATTATAGGAACCTAGTGAAACATGCTGAGCAGAGTAACACTCATCACGGGTGCTGTGTTCATTTCCACTGCCCTCTGCTCGCTTAGTGGGTGCACTCCGGGAGCTAATTTTTGGTTCCCCTCATGAAATTCCAGGAAGGTGAGGGGGGTGGCGGTGGGTGCTCACAGAGCTGTCACTCTTTACTGGTTAAATGTTAGCATCTTCATACCTCAAGCATTAGCATTACAAGTACGGATTGTAACCACACTCACTGGTTTACAAAAAAATGAGGACCTCACTTGTTGGTTTAGAGGCAAAACAGAAACTTTGATGAGTGGACCGTGAGCAAAGAGGTGAACACATCACATTTCTGCAAGTTTATAGAGAGGGGTACTGCGTTTATGTTCAACAGCTGTTCAACAACTGCTTGATAAACTTGTCTCATCTCATTTCATTTTCTATACCGCTTAGTCCTGAACAGGGTCGTGGGGGGCTGGAGCCAATCCCAGCCAGCATCGGGCGAAATGTGGGGTACACCCAGGACAGGTCGCCAGTCCATCGCAGGGCCAACACACAGATGAACTGCTTGATAAACTGCTCATACAATCTCCATCTGCACCCTCTGCTCAGCTGTGTGTGTGTGTGAGATAGAGAGAGAGGAGTACAGCCCCTCCCTCCTCTAAACAGAGACCAACACACCAAAAAATACAGTGGAAAACCAAAGCAGGATGGTCTGCATCAGCCTGTGAGGTTATGGCCAGTGATGGTTAAGAGAAGCATGGGGTATACTGCTTGTTAAATGGTAAATGGACTGTATTTATATAGCGCATTTTTCACAGTGTGTTGCACTGGCCAAAGCGCTTTACAGGAGATCATACACCATTCACCCATTCACACACACATTCACACACCGACCAGCACCGTGTCAGTCGAGTTATGGAGCACTCCCACTGAGAGAAGGAAGATGAGTGTGGGCAAAGCTGGGCGAAGCAGCTGGCAATAGCAGGAAAATGGAGCAGTGACTGAGTCTACTATAACATGGAAAATGGAACGGAGACAAAATAAAGACCAGGATCATGACATACAGTACATACTACATCATTTAACTTCCTCCTCTACTTGTGTCACAATTGCTACAGCTGCTAGAGGTCTCCTAAATATAAAGCATTACTGATGGTTGTGATAACCTGCTGGCACAAACAGCATATGGAATTAATCTCTGAGAGTTTTAATTTCTATTTGTCTTTAGAGGATCAACGATCTGTACTGATCACTTCATTGAACAGTTTTTTGTTTTATAATTGGTTACAGGATATATAGAAGAGGCTTGCATCATCCCCTGTCCATCTGACTGCAAATTGAGTGAATGGTCCAACTGGTCACGCTGCAGCAAATCCTGCGGTAGTGGAGTCAAAGTCCGCTCCAAGTGGCTGAGAGAAAAACCCTACAATGGTGGGAGACCATGTCCTAAACTGGACCATGTGAACCAGGTGAGAGAGGTCTTACTTTAAGCAAAAAATATTACAGTTTAATACTTATCCTCTGTGGGAATGGACATTTAATTTATTATGATGTACTTTAATATGCCACAGTTAGTGTATATTTTGTTTAATTACTGAGTATAATAGTCTGAATTACCTTTTTCTGTTTTTGTTCTCTGGTGAATGGATTCCGTCTACAGGCCCAGGCAAGTTCACTGTTCCTTCTTTTTTTTTTATTGTTTTATGTTTTATGGCTTTACTTTTTCCTGAAATTGTTTTCCTGAGTTGTTTTTTATGACCATGCTTTTAGTCATATTGTTATAGGTAAAATCCAATAAATACAACTCTAATTTAGACTGGATTTTAATGTAATCAGTCAATCTATTTTAAGCACCCAATCCTAAAGGATAAAGTCAAGTATCTTGTATATTATTTGTATTTTACCAATCCCCATAAAGAGACTAAAACCAACAGTGAATTTGATTAATTAATGTCTGTCACTCTCCAAACTGGATTACCTTATTTTTCTGTGCCATAGATGTTCATTGTTCAAAAACTATTAAGAACACATCAGCTAAACACACTGCTGCACTGTATGTTTTCCAACAAAAGATATGCATATTTGTTAAAAATGTTGCTCCAAAAGTTCCAAAAGGGCATACATGTTTATAGCATCTGTGCATATGTGAAAGATCTCCGTGAAAGCACAAGGAGCTAGTGCACTGTAAACAAAACAGGCAGCTACAAAACTCTACTCATTTCATGTTTCAAAATTACACATTTTCTGTTCAAGATCATACAGGTAACTGTGGTGTTTGCGTGTGTCAGGTGTATGAAGTGGTGCCTTGCCTCAGTGACTGTGGACAATACATCTGGGTGGCAGATCCCTGGAGTGTATGGAAGGTCAGCAATGTGGGCCTGAAAGATAACTGTGGTGAAGGTGTTCAGACCAGGAAAGTCAGGTAAGAAGAGCCAGCCTATGTCTACACAGGCAGACACTAGCTGTACTTCAGTCAGCATTCCTTTCTGTTTGTTTTCTTTTAGATGTTTGAAATATCTGTGGATTATCAATGTTATAATTATTCCTACTGATCACAAATTGAAGGTCAAATAAAAAACTATACTGCCTGAGATGGACTGTGCGGTGTAGGTGACTAAATTAGTTCAACCCCCAGGTGTATGCTGAACACTATAGATGGGCCCTCCGAGCAAGTGGAGGACTACCTGTGTGACCCAGAAGAGATGCCTCTGGGGGCTCGCAACAGCCGGCTGCCCTGCCCAGAGCACTGTGTGTTATCAGACTGGGGAACCTGGAGCCCATGTGCACTCGTAAGAATGGCATATTAACCTTCTGAGTCACTGTACTACACCTTTAGATGGTTTTCAAATTCTCATTGGGTCTCTTTCATTAATATGTGTGTAGAAATGTTCTACCGTGCACACAAAAGAAGTTCCCATGCAAAATTACCTTTAGGTTCATAAAACCAGTCAATTTTGTTCTTACCACCATGTGTATGTTATTAAACCAGAATCATTCTGAAATGACAAGTATGTGTCTGCAATGAACAATTTGCATACTGCCACGCCCCCATTTCTTTATAAAAGGAAATATGTTTGAGTAGAGGCGCAGAAAGCCATGAAGTTGCAAGACTCCTGTCTTATGTACCAGTGAAAAGAGATGTGTAACACTAAACAAAGCTGGTAATTGAGAAACCCCATATTGTAACTGCCATTATGCAGACATAGTGACTTCTCCAGCCTTACAACAATTATCTCTAACATTACAGAAACAAGGCATTAACAGACATGTTTTTTTAAACTTACCATTAAGTCCCACCAAGCAGTGGAAACATTGCTCCCTTTCAGATAGCGCCAAGGTTGGTAAATCCAACTGGTGGTCACTGGGCCTGTGTTATTGTGAGATCTGTCACAATAACCCCTTTTCAAAATACAGTCTATAGTTTTATGGACACGATACATTGAGTATATATTTATTTTGGCAAGGACCAAGAGATAAATTAAAGGTAGAGATGCGGTGATTGATCAGTGTTTGGCCTTGACAAGTAACTGGCCATGTGTGCACAGCCTGCACCAATATGAAACCATTCTGACTTATTCATATAAGTCAGAATGGTTTCCTCTGCTTCTCAGCCATGCAGGGGGAACAGTACCCGGGAGCGGAGTGCTTACACGCTCCGCCAGCCTGGAGAGGGCAAGGAGTGTCCTCTGACTAAAGAGACAGAGCCCTGCAAACTGAACAGCAACTGCTTTCACTTCTCCTACAACATCACTGGTGAGATTGAAAGAGCAGGATCATCTACATTCAGTTCTTATGCAGCACCATTTACATGACAGGTTTAGGCTTACATTTACCTTTTGCTGATGAAACTGTGCAGATTGGAGTACCTGTCAGCTGAGTGACAGAGCGGTGTGTGGAAATGGCATCAAAACCCGCATGCTGGACTGTGTGCGTAGTGACAGCAAATCTGTTGATCTCAAATTCTGCAAAGAGGTGCGATGTGTGTTAGTTCTTATTTTCAAAACTTTTTAAGTGTGTTTTTAATGAAATACAGAGTTAATCAAACCTAATGACATTTTGCAGCTGGGTCTGGAAAGGAAGTGGCAGATGAATGCTTCTTGCATGGTGGAGTGCCCAGTCAACTGTCAGCTGTCAGACTGGTCATCATGGTCTGAGTGCACTCACACCTGTGGACTTGCAGGTATGTCTGTGGCTTTGTTTACATGGGTCTTTAAAAGTTATTATTGAGATCAAGAGGCATTATGAGCCGTACCCTGGTCCAAACTATGTTACTGCACTTTTATCAGCTGATAATGTGTCAGTTTTGTTTCTGCCCTGGTGTCCTGTTTTTGTGGTGAAAATGAATATCAGAAATCCCTCCTCTCCCATAAATTCCACAAATCAGCTGTAGCTCTTTGATGACATTAAAATACAGGCTTGGCTAATACTCAACAACAACAACAACAACTGAAAAAACTTAGAAAAATCAACTGGACTAGGTTTCTAGGTCAAAGACATTTCACCTCTCATCCAAGAAGCTTAATCAGTTCTGCCCAACTGGCATTGCGTCAGAGGTATTTATCCCCATTGGTGGTGTTTCAGTCCTTTGACGGCCAACAATGCCCCCTAATGACTGAGTCATTATAGTCCGGCATCAGTGAGCATTGTTACCTGTCTTTGAACCCTCACCTGTGGACTGACGCCTATTGTGCTGGTGGGCATGTTTGGGCAGAGATCTCAAAACAGGATTGTAGATGGATGACAAGTTGTGTCTTAGTCCACACCCCTATTTAGTGAGGGGTGTTCTATTTTTACAAAAATAGCTTCCTTGACTCCTCTCTCAAACCAGCAATGTTCTCTGGAGAGAATCTGGACTTCACTGTGCTCAAAAGAATGTCCTTTGTCCTTCAGGTGGAGGTGGACCACTGACTCTGGTCCACTGGAGTTGGCCCTCCTGTGTTGGGCCATGCGTTTGTGAAGCGGCTGCTTAGTTTCACCAATGTACAAGTCGTTACACTCCTGACTACACTTAATTGCATACACCACATCACTCTGTTTAGGTCTGGGTGTTTTGTCCTTCGGGTGGACCAGTCTTTGCCGCAGAGTGTTCCCTGGTTTAAAGTTGACTGGGATATTGTGGTTGTAAAAGATCCTTTTTAACTTCTCTGATAAACCAGCCACATAAGGGATGACAGTGTTATCCCCTCTTGTTTCTGGTTTCCTTGTTGGTGTTGGGCCTCTTACTTGCTTTGGTGAAGGCCCACTTAGGGTATCCACAAGCCTTAAGGCAGTTCTGGATATGTAGTTTCACCTTCTTGGCCCCTTCTGCAGTTGTGGGCACTTCCTCTGCCCTGTGATTTAGAGTTCTGATGTCTCCCAGTTTGTGTTGAAGTGGATGGTGTGAGTCAAAAAGCAGGTATTGGTCCCTGTGTGTAGGTTTCCGATATACTTCCACCTTCAGGCTTCTGTCCCCTCCAAAGTGGACTGCACAATCCAAAAAGGCCAGACAGTCATCTCTGGCATCCTCATGAGTGAACCTGATGTTGCTATCCACCGAGTATATATGCTTGGTGAAAGCCTCTACCTCCTGGGTCCTGATTTTAACCCATGTGTCATCCACGTAGTGGAACCAGTGGCTGGGAGCGTACCCAGTGAAGTAAGACAGGGGCTTTGTCCTCAAATTCTTCCATGTACAGGTTGGCAACTATAGGAGACACCGGGGAGCCCATAGCATAACCCTGTTGCTGCCTATAGAAGTGCCCCCTAAACTGGAAGTAGGTAGTGTTTAAACAGAGTTCCAGCAGAGTGCATACATGGTCTGGGGTGAGGTTAGTCCTGCTGTTCTTTTTCTTTGTTATCATTAAAACTTCCAGATGAATAATGCTTTTAATAGATGTTGTTTCATTTATTCATCAGGGACAATGCATGAATTCATGTAATTAACTAGAGAAATGCATTTCCTGTCGAAAATGCATGTGGATGCTGTAATGCTGAACGATGGCCCTGAAAATGCTGAACATTTTGACACCTGAAAGGCATATTTACCTGAAAGTATGCTGAAGTAGAATTTTCCCATTCATTTGAATGGGGCAAAACTTTCAAAATAAAGCTAAATATTTTAAAAGTATGAAGTTTAGAAAAAATTTGAAGAGAAGCATGAATGTCCTTGAAGAGCTGAACATTTTGATAGCTGAAAGTATGCTGAAGTAGAATTTTCCCATTCATTTGAATGGGGCAAAACTTTCAAAATAAAGCTAAATATTTTAAAAGTATGAAGTTTAGAAAAAATTTGAAGAGAAGCATGAATGTCCTTGAAGAGCTGAACATTTTGATAGCTGAAAGTATGCTGAAGTAGAATTTTCCCATTCATTTGAATGGGGCAAAACTTTCAAAATAAAGCTAAATATTTTAAAAGTATGAAGTTTAGAAAAAATTTGAAGAGAAGCATGAATGTCCTTGAAGAGCTGAACATTTTGATAGCTGAAAGTATGCTGAAGTAGAATTTTCCCATTCATTTGAATGGGGCAAAACTTTCAAAATAAAGCTAAATATTTTAAAAGTATGAAGTTTAGAAAAAATTTGAAGAGAAGCATGAATGTCCTTGAAGAGCTGAACATTTTGATAGCTGAAAGTATGCTGAAGTAGAATTTTCCCATTCATTTGAATGGGGCAAAACTTTCAAAATAAAGCTAAATATTTTAAAAGTATGAAGTTTAGAAAAAATTTGAAGAGAAGCATGAATGTCCTTGAAGAGCTGAACATTTTGATAGCTGAAAGTATGCTGAAGTAGAATTTTCCCATTCATTTGAATGGGGCAAAACTTTCAAAATAAAGCTAAATATTTTAAAAGTATGAAGTTTAGAAAAAATTTGAAGAGAAGCATGAATGTCCTTGAAGAGCTGAACATTTTGATAGCTGAAAGTATGCTGAAGATGAATTTCCCCATTCATTTTGAAGGGCACAGAAGCCACTTGACTGGGCAATAAGACCATTCAACAAATGGGCACACGATTATTCTTAAAACATGTAGTAAGCCTTCTTTAATTCTCTCGTTGTACTATTAATAGATTTGTGGATAAATATATTAGAAATATAACCTGTCTGCTTTGAACAGAGGCAAGGACTTGTATACATTTTTAAAGTTAAGTACAACCCCAAATAACAAAAAGTTGGGATGGTATGTAAAATCAAAATTAAAACAGAATAGTGATGTGTAAATTCTCTGTCTTATATTACATTGAAAACAATACAGCAGCAGATTATTTGATGTGATACCTCAACAACTGTATTCTATGTTCAAAATAAACACTTCAATTCTGATGCTGCAAAACATTCCAATAAAAGTTGGGACAATAAAAGATTTACCACAGTGTGATGCTGCTGTTCCTTTTTACAACACTTAAGAAGTTTAAGGACTGAGGACACCAAGTGATTCAGTGTATCAGGTGTCATTTTTGCGGTTTTAGTCCTGGCGTGGAACACTGGACCAGCTCTATACCCTCTTCAGGGTGGTGGAGGGTTCATGGGAGTTTGCCCAACCAGTCCACATGTGTTTTGTGGATTTTGAGAAGGCATTCGACTGTGTCCCTCGTGGCACCCTGTGGGGGGTGCTCTGGGAGTATGGGGTTCGGGGCCCTTTGCTAAGGGCTGTCCGGTGTTAAATTCTACCCAAATTCGCGAGAAATGAAGACAGGAGAGGACTGTTTAAAATCAACAGGAAGTCTGAGGTAAAGCCATACAGTGCTGGGATCAGAGAGACATAGCTCCTGCAGGAATTCCATTCTCTGAACCCTGAATTATGTTTTTACAATGCATTTATCTGGCTGGGCTAGGCCCACCCTAAACAAAATTCATGCATTGTAATCCTATTGGTCATTTGGTGAGCCGGAGCTCACCCCTCCTTGCTGGAATGTGATCTACACCAGGTGTGTGTGTGTGTGCGTGTGTGTGTGTGTGTGTGTGTGTGTCTCAGGTGGCAGCTTGATCTTGATCAATGGGCACTGAACCATGGGTGGCCTGGGTTGCAGGCCCCCTGTGTGTGTGATGCTAATAAGTATGCTAAACTGACTAGGTGGTCATCTCAGGTTGTGGGCCCCCCTGGCTCTGCAGGACACTCCCTGGCAAGGCAGCACTTGGAATATGCTAAGTGGGTCGAGGTGTGAGTGTAAAACAGGCCAACCGGTCTTTGTTAAAATGTAAATAGGCTGTCTGGTTCCTAGGACATGCAAACATCTAGTCTCTACAGTATAAAGTCCCACTGCTACCTTCAGCATCATACAGCAATCATCAATCCAGTTTTAATATGTATAAGCAAGGAAAATGAAAGATATGAAAAGTAAATAAAAGAAAATGAAGAACTGAAAAGTAACTAAAGGAAACTAGAATTATGAAAAGTAACTAAAGGAAACTAGAATTATGAAAAGTAACTAAAGGGAACTAAAGGTATGAGAAGTAACTAACGCTTGTAAAGTAACTAGAGTCTATAAGAATCAAATCTTACACCAGTCCCTGTACAACCGGAGCAGGAGCTTGGTTCGCATTGCTGGCAGTAAGTCAGACTTGTTTCCGGTGCATGTTGGACTCCGGCAGGGCTGCCCTTTGTCACCGGTTCTGTTCATTATCTTTATGGACAGAATTTCTAGGCGCAGCCAGAGGCCGGAGGGAGTCTGGTTTGGGGACCACAGGATCTCATCTCTGCTTTGCAGATGACGTTGTCCTGTTGGCCCCATCAAACCAGGACCTTCAGCGTGCACTGGGACAGTTTTCAGCCGAGTGTGAAGCAGCTGGGATGAGAATCAGCACCTCCAAGTCTGAGGCCATGGTTCTCAGTTGGAAAAGGGTGGGTTGTTCCCTTCAGGTTGGTGGAGAGCTCCTGCCTCAAGTGGAGGAATTCAAGTATCTTGGGGTCTCGTTCACGAGTGAGGGAAGGATGGAACGGGAGATTGACAGGCAGATCGGTGCAGCTTCTGCAGTAATGCAGTTGATGTACCGGTCCGTCGTGGTCTGTCAATTTACTGGTTGATCTACGTTCCTACTCTCACCTATGGTCATGAGCTTTGGGTCATGACTGAAAGGGCAAGATCCCGGATTCAGGCGGCCGAAATGAGCTTTCTCCACAGCGGGGCTGGGCACTCCCTTAGAGATAGGGTGAGGAGCTCAGTCACTTGGGTGGAGCTCAGAGTAGAACCGCTGCTCCTCAAC